TCTTAACCAACACTTCCCTGTTTCCTCCTTCTCTCAGTCCCTGTCATCACCATACTTCTTGCTTCTATGAGTTTGACTATTTTAGATTCCTCATGTATAAATTTATGGTCTCTTAGTCTATTAGGGCTGCTATAATAAAATACCATAAATGGAGTGCCTTATAAACAATAAACAATTATTTCTCACAATTCTAGAGGCTGGAAAATCCAAGAAAATCCAAAATCTTGGAAAATTCCAAGATCCGGTAGGTTTGGTTTCTGGTGGGGGCTTATTTCCTGCTTCATAGATGATGCTTTCTTCTTGTGTCTTCACATGGTTGAAGGGGTGAATGAACTCCCTTAACTTACTCATTTATGTGTCATAGCTCTGAAGTTTAGGAAGTCCAAGATCTTGGTGCTGGCAGATTCAGTATCTGGGTAGGGGCCCAATTTCTGTTTTGTGGATGCTGCTGTGTAGTTGTCTCCTTACCTTCCAGCTGTGTTCCCATGGTAGAAGTTGTGTTGGGGGCTCTCCCTCAGGCCTCTTTTTTAGGAGCATGAATTTCATTCATGAGGGTTCCATTCTTATGAAATAATCACCTCCCAAAGGCCTAACCTTTTAATACTGTCATCTTGGAGTCAGGATTTGAACAAGTGAATTTTGGGGGGGCACAAACTTTCAGACCATAACAACTAGGTCATATGGTAGGTTAATTTTTTAAAGGAATCTCTATACTGTTTTTTCATAGTTAGTGGATTCACCAGTTTGCATTTTCATCAACAATGTACAAGGATTCCCTTTTATCCACATCCTTGCCAACGTTTGTTTTTTTCAATAATAGCCATACTAACGGGTGTGAAGTAACAATTCATTGTTGCTTTGATTTGCATTTCTCTGATGATTAGTGATGTCCAGCATCTCTTCATATTGCTATTGTCCATTTGCATATCGTCTTTGGAGAAATGCCTATTCAGGTTCTTTGCCCATTTTGAATTCATTATTGGTTTCTTGCTATTAAGTTGTGGGAGTTCCTTATATATTTTGGATATCATTCTATTATCAGATATATGGTTTTCAAATATTTTGTTCCATTCTGTAGGTCACATTTTCATTTTGTTGACTGTTTCTTTTGCTATTTAGAAACTTTTTGTTTGATATAATCCCACTTGTCTATTTTTGCTTTTGTTGCTTATGCTTTTGTGGTCATAGCTAAGAAATTAGTCCCCACACTAATGTCAAGAAGCATTTACCTCTTTTTCTTCTAGGAGTTTTACAATTTCTGGTCTTATGTTTAAGTCTTTAATACACTTAATTCACTTTGAGTTGATTTTTTTGTACAGTGTAAGAGAATGGTCCAATTTTTTGTTGGGCATGTGAACATCCAGTTTTCTCAACACTATTTATTGAAGAGACTTCTTTTCTCCCTTGTGCATTCTTGGAACCTTAGTCAAAGAACAATTGAACATATATGTATAGATTTATTTCTAGGCTCCCTATTATGTTCCACTAGCCTATATTTCTGTTTTTGTGCCAGTATAATACTGTTTTGATTACTATGACTTTATAATGTATTTTGAAATTGGGAAGTGTGATGCCTCCAGTTGTGTATTTTCTCAAAATTACTTTGGCCATTTGAAGTTCTTTTATCATGTTATATAAATTTGGAGATTTTTTTTTCTATTTTTATAAAAAATGCTATTGGGATTTTGACAGAGATTGAACCGAATCTTTAGGTTATAGGGGTATTATGGACATTTTAACAATATTAATTCTTCCAATCTATAAAGTGTCTTTTCATTTATTTTTGTCTTTGATTTATTTCATCAGTGCTTTTGGTTTTCAGTGTACAAGTCTTGAACCAGCTTAACTAAGTTTATTCCCAAGTGTTTTATTATTTCTGATACTCTTATAAATAGGATTGTTTTCTTAATTTCTTTTTTGGATAGTTTGTTGCTAGTATATAGAAATGCAGCTGATTTTTGGATGTTGATTTTATATTTTGCAACTTTATTGAATTCACTTAGTAGTTCCAATGGTTTTTACATGAAGTCTTTAGGGGTTTCCTACATATCAGATCATGTCAACTGCAGACAAATGGCTTTATTTTTTATTTTCTTATTTGGATGCCTTTTTTTCCCCTTGCTCAATTGCTCTGGTTAGGTCTTCCAGTAGTACGTTGAATAGACGTTGGAAGACAGGGCATCCCCACATTGTTCTGGATCTCTGGAACATGCGGTGTTTGGTTTTATGTTCTTACGTTAGTTGCTGAGAATGATGGTTTACTACGCAGTCATAAAAAAATGATGAGTTCATGTCCTTTTGCAGAGACATGGATGAAGCTTTCTTTGATTTTAAACCCAGGCAAGTTTGGCACATACCATTTTGTTACTATGCATTTGACAAATGCAAGTATTGAGCTATTAGTCACGGAGATATACCAAAGAAGATAAGATAACTTCCTTTAAGTATTAGGAGGGTAAAATAATACCAAAAAATTTCAAAAGAAAATTGTAGAATTGAATAGAAATAGCAGTGGAAATGCTATTTCACTTAACTCTGTTTCTTGATGGAAAGGTTATTAGAATTAATCCTGGCCTGATCAAATTGCAAATGTCTAAAAGAGCCTAAGGTAGTAGTTTTGTGGATAGCAAATAATGTCAGACAAATTCAATTTATTTTTATGAAAAAGTAACAAGGGAGAAGCCATATGTATTATAGATCAGGAATTGAGTCAGCTTCTTCAGTGTGTTCTACATTACAATTAACCTCAGCAAGCTATGGTATGTAGGTGCATGTACCCACAGGGCAGTGATCAAAAGTTTATTCTTACTATCAGAGGACATGATAAATGGATTTTCTTTGCAGTTATCATAGTTCTGGTTGTAATAATTATATAAGGGATTGAAAAGTTGAAATAAAGTGATTTTCAGTTTAAAGAGTCAGTTAAAGTGACTTGTTAGTACTTCCATGTAGAACATAGGAATCTGATGTTCTCATACTAAGTAGAAATTATAGACATATAACTTATTTTCAAAAAATTCAGTTTAGTTCAAGATACTTGTCTTTAGGGAAATTGTACCATATAACTGATAAGATGATTATAAATGACTTTTTAAAAATTATGCAGTGTAGGTTTCACTCAGGCACTACCTGGGTAAGTAATGTAATATTACTCCAAAATAATTGTTTCAAATTCCACACAGCCCAAATAAATAGTATGCAAAAATATTACTAATTGGAGTGTTTTAGGAAGTTTTCTTTAAGCCATTTGAAAACATTTGGGGGAAAAATGTTAGTTAAAACTAGAATAACAAAGAAGAAAACTATTAGATAAAATATATATTCCCCTTACCTTTGGAAGTAGTCAGATCTTTAAAAGATAATTGTTTTAAAATGCAATATAAATAAATTTATATGAAACATGTTCATACTTAATAACTATCATCACCTTTTCTCTACTCCAAAATAACAAAAATAGAATGTTTTTTCTATCCATAGCAAAAGTAAAACACTGTCACATTCATATCTTTAGTTAGTATTTTAGTACACTGACCAACAGCAAAGAACAAAAAGAAATATTTACTGATTATGTCATGGTCATAATAATAACTATATAAAAAAGGAAATTTTTTAAATGAATTTTTAATAATTCTCCAAAACACTTATTTTACTTAGTGCATTGCATGAGATGACTCTAGTTGTAACTACACAGTCTTTTAACATTTCATTCCTACCTTGTCAGCCTCGTTTCTCAACTAGACAAATGTAAGTTGGTTTCCTTGTTTGCTTGCCTTCTGCTGTGATTGATTTTGCATATTACATACTATGTTATCCTTAAAAATAAAAATACAATGTGACTGCCTTCATTTATTCTTCAAAGTGGTCCAGAGGCTTACCATTGCAGTCACAATATAAAGTAGAAAACATCATGTATCCTAGAAGTTCTTACATGATTTGTCCTATAATCACGTATCAAACCTTTTTTTCTACATTCACTGTTCTTCTGCCACACAGGATTTCTTGCTTCTTACTATTTCAAGAGCAAGTAAAGCTTGTTTTTCATCAGACTGTTAAGCTCTTCTCAGTCTTCTCATGGTTTATTCTTCTCTGTCATTCAGGGCTTTGATCAAATATCACCCTTCAAACCTGAAGTAATAGCCACTGCTTGACTCTCCTTTGTATTCATAACAGCATATTATGTTTATTATTTGCCTCCAGCCATAACTGTATGTGTGCCCCATATATTCATTTTCTCGCTGTTCATTTTCCACGTTAGAATATAGAGTCTATAAAAGCAGACATTTTATTGTTTTCTGTTGTATTTCTGGTACCTAGTAGAGATTTAACATTTTTTATGGAATAAATTAATTCAAAAATGAAGGAGTGGATAAGTATGCTCCAAAATATCAAATTTGGTAATATTCTAATGTTTTTCTTAAACACTTATATAGATAATGTCTTGTTGATGAATATGAATGTTAGCATTTATAGATGTAATCATTTACATGACTTTTCTATAACCCCTTGTAAAATATCATGCAATTTCTCTTTACTACCTATTTTAGTTAATTAAATAATTACCATTTTAATTATTTTTATTTTCTCAGGAATAATTCTGAGTAAAAATAAAACATATATCCTTAAAATGTATTTTGTTCTATTTATTGCTCCTAGAAAAAATTAAGTTTGCTAAAATAGTTTAAATAGTCAAAAGACATATATAACCTTTTTAATTTTGTTTGAAAATATTAAAATTAACTAAATTCATCAATTTTTTCACAGAAGACACAGTCACATCTTCAATTATCGCTTTTTGTTTGAGTTGACAGAGCTTCTCTTACATACAGTAGCAGCATTCACATAACTGTTAGCGAGATGCTGTTTCAGGCCTTTTATCGATATTCATCAAAATCTTATCTGAGAAGAGGAGTAATATTAATATTATATATGATAGCATTTTTCAGCATATTTATAACATTTTTCCTCATTTCACTTTTCTTCTTCTTGTGATTTTCTTCCAGAAATTGAAAAATTTCAAGGTTCTGATGGAAAAAAGGAAGACGAAGAAAAGAAGTATCTTGATGTCATCAGCAACAAAAACATAAAGCTCTCAGAAAGAGTACTGATTCCTGTCAAGCAGTATCCAAAGGTACTACCATATATACTTTGTTCTCATAGAATTGATTTAAAAAATGATAAAATATTTTATTTATTGACTTTTATAAAATAAATATTTGAAGCTTCATAATGTAGGTATATGCAAGCACATGATATTGACAGAGGGGAAGGAAAACTTTTGAAAGTGCAATAATGAGGGTAATTTTAAACTGAAGGCTACAGCATTTTTGTTCTGTGAATATAGGAGGCATAATCAGATATTTTAATCATGTATTCAAAATATAAATGATATATCAATTTGTCTAAATATGTACACCCACGTGATTATCTTTGATTCAGGTTAAAATGTATCTCCTTATTATAAAACGGAGTAGAGTTAATGATAGTAAATATGTAACATTAGAAAATCAACAGGGAATTATTATTAATATATCTAAGAAAATCAATTAGGTTATTAGACTCTTAGATTATAACCTATAGTCTTCTATAATCAAAGTTTATTCATAAAATAATTACAATATCATTCTTAATGTTACATCTTTCTTTAAACTAATTTTTCACTAGTAGATCATTGATTATAAAAGGTAGCATTCAGTGGCATGGTTTTATCAATTATATTCATACATTTCAATGGGTAAAAAGAGGGATTTTTTGTTTTGGTCAAATGAATGGAGGAAACTAAAATGTAAACTCAAAGATTCAAGCTGATAATTAACTTTCTGAAGAGTGAATGTGAAGCAAGGACCATGTAATTATCCTAACAGTAACGATTACAGAAATAAATGCTCTGGTTTACCAATTGTCTTCTACTATGATAAACTTTAGTAAATATAATTAACTAGATGCTTTGTCTATAATTATTTCAAACAGGGATAAAATTGTTAAAGCCCAGCAAACCATAAAATATATCTTTGAGATAAAATGTTTTGGGCATGGAATTTGTTTTTGAGCTCGACTCTATTGCAAGAAAGCTGTTTAGAATGGGTATATGTTTTTAAAATAAACTTTATTAGATTTGCTTTATAATCATGTTCTCTTGAATATTAAATTGGGCAGGCTTAGAAATGTACATGAAAAATTTGCATAGTAGTGAAATGAGGTAGGAATATGTTAGCGTGTAAAGAATAATATGTCCTTTTTCACTTGATCAATTAACCAGTTATAGTCTTGAATAGAAGGTTCTTTTCTTAAATCATACATTTAAATACGGTATAACTTGATGATGTTTCTTGGAATAACATATTTGTATCTCTGGATATGGGAAAGTCAATGACAGACTCAGTACCTGCCTCTAAATAAAAATGTAGTTCTATAGTCTCTGATCAAATTATACTGACAAGGTATGTAAGGCATTTAAAGTCTTGATGGCTCTTCAAGTTCCTATATGAGTGGTTTTATGCTGATTATTACTGGATCTGTGTTTGATTCAGAATGATGAATACCGAAATAAGAATATTCTATGATGTCAAATTTTTGTCTGAAGTTTAATTTTGTAATGTATAAGAAAATGCTCTAACAAGAAAACTGCTTATTCTTAATTGCCGTGGACCACGGATCACCAGCAAACTATTGTGTCTCTTACAATTTTTAAAATTATGGAATGTTTAGGCTGGGACTAATCTTGGAAATCACAGAATATATAAAACTTTTATTTTATAGATGAGGTAACTGAAAAATCATGAATTGTTCAAGGTCATGCTTCTGTTAGAGATGGAAATCTTTAGTGCAGTTACTGTAATTTCAGGCTCTTCATTTTTGGTGCACCGTTACATTTTTAACTTGACCGATCGTGCCCACATATTTGCATCGCTTTTTCGTGTTAAATGTGGAAGAATGTGAAAAATGATAACACCTAATGGTTTTATGGAATAGTCTCAAATAACAATTCATGCTTGAGAAAATTTACCATTTCTTTAAATTATGAATAGCCTGCCAAACTCCTTTAATTTATTTTTAAAGGAATATTCATTTCATCTAATTATCACACAAAAGAGAACTTTAGAGCTTTTCTACAGAAAAAGAGTGAAATTCTGAGGAGGAGAGTATACTCACTTATCAAAGTTGACCTACCTTGTTCTTGTTTTTATAGTACAATAAATCATGATATTTTGAAAACAAACTATATCTTACTATATTTAATAATCTTTTGAAAACACACCATATTTTATTATAAAAGTTGTGATTTTTTTTCCTGCTGTTCATTGTCCATTTCTTAGAAAAATATCAATGAGATAGAGTTAAATGATCACTAAACTTGAGCTGTATTCAGTGTACATTTATGAGCTGTAAAATGTGTGATGTGGTGTAATACTATGAGCTGTTGAGCAGAACACAACAGTATTTATTGGTTTAAAGTTGAATCTTTTGTAATAGAAAAGTGATTTATCCTTCAGGGGGCCACACTGGTGAAAGAATTCCTTTACACAGCTTTCTCTCAGAACGATTTCTCCCATTGACAACTGCTGTCTGTTTGTACCAATAATTAATGTGTTGGTGACACAGTCCTCTCAAAGAGCAATAAATGACTATGGGAATTCTTGGGGAAATGGTCCTCTCAAGACTTTACTACATGACTTTTTTTGGATAGATCGTGTTTCAATTACTCTCCAATTTCAAGTGAATTTGTTGACGTAGTTGAATACTACAAGAAATTGAATGAAGTTTAAAATTTAATTTATAAAAATTATAAAAATGCTCTTTAAGATTGATTTATCTAGCCTTGGTGCTTTACATTTAATCGTTTGACTTGGGGAAATATGTCATATTATAATATTAAATTATTTTAATGAGTAGTTTTTCTTATTTGGCTACACACACACACACACACACACACACACACACACACACATATTTTTAGATAAGCCGGCATAAAGCACTTTTATTGCAATAATAGAACTTGAGACTCATATATAGTGCAGAGGGGGAAGGAGCAGCAATGATTTCTCTCACCAAATCACTACACAGGACAGCAAAGGGGTGAGAAGGCGCTGAGGGAGGAAAAGCCAGGAAACTCTGAGATCAGCAGAGGGAGCCAAGCTCAAAAAACAGGAGAGCTGAAGCTGTGATAACCAGCATCATTTTCTTAAGAGAACATTCAAGGATTTGTCATGATGGCTGGGCTTTCACTGGGTGTTAAGTCTATAAACAGCACCTTCAATTGAAACTGTCAATTAAAGTTCTTAAGATTTAGGAAGTGGTGGAGCTTGGAAAGTTATAAGATTACAAAATTCCTGAAAGTCCATTAGAAAAACCACAGGATGAAAAAAAATAAAAAGTAAAAAGATAAGCCAGGCCACGAGGAAGCCTTCAGAGGTCCCTGCTGGCCCAGGGACAGATGCCTATATTGTCCAGCATTGCAGTGAACATGATCTGCTTTCAAAGGCAGAGGGTTTAAGGGGAGGGTGGGGTGGGAATGGTGGAGGCAAAGGCTGTCCCCATCCCCACCTCAGTTTTAGGTAGGGCTTGTAATTTAACCCAAGGACATCTCTCAACTTGGAGAATAATTCAATCCTCAACAGCGCCTCAAATCTGCTATGGCTTTGCAGCGCAGCAGCAAGAATGTTTCATATATAATAGGTAAAAATTTCATCTAAAAAATTAAAATAAAATATTCTTGCAACCCCCGGCCCCCAACACCAATTCCTATTCTAACGTTAACCTATCACTTGTGCTGTTAATACCTGATCATGTACTTAACTGGAAACCTATATCCAAAGACTGAAACTGAATCTTCATCCCAAAATGAAAACAAAATAAAATGAATAACTTGAGGTTTATGGCATATGGTTTAGGTAAACACACATATGAGGAGAAAGGGGAAGAGGAAATGGAGGTGTCAGAAGCAAAGCTGAGTGACAGAACACATTCAGTTAGGGCAGATGTCTATACAGAGTGGAGTGGAACATCAGGAGAAGCTCCATGTTGATTCATGTGCACACGTCTGGAGGCACCAGATCCCTCTACGGCAGATCCAAGAACAGGGAGCTAAGGGAGGAGGCCATTCCTGCCATTCCAGTTTTAGAAGCTCCGCATCGAAGACGAGAGTGGCATGTGGTGGGATGATGCCTCGGTGCCCAGTGGCACTATAGGTATAATCTGGAGATATAGTCAGTTTGGCCCTCTGACCCACACTCATCTGGGCAACCCCTTCTTCCCAGCCTCGGATCACCTCCTGCTTGCCTAGCATAAACTTAAAGGGCTTGTTTCTATCCCGGGAGTAATCAAATTTCTTTCCATCTTCAAGCATCCCAGTGTAGTGCAACACCCAGGTCTGGCCACGCTTCGGGAAGGTGCGCCCATCTCCTGGGGAGATGGTTTCCACCTGACTCCCATGGCGGCGGCGGACGCTGAGCGCACTGGCAGCGCTACGTGGACCGACAGCGACCTGGCAGCGGTTCCACGGCTCTGCCTAGTCCCTCTTGGCTTTGTATTTTTATAATAAAATTAATAGACATGTATTTGTGATTCGTGCTAAATGAGTAGAATTTAACTGCTTTTGCCTACAAAAGCAAATAAAACAATGGGCAAGTATTCAGATGATGAGTATGTTAATTTGCTTCACTTTAGTAACCTTTTTTTTACTTTGTATATGTATCCCATAATATAATTTTGTGTACCTTGAAAATACACAACAAAATTTATTTCAAAAGAGATTAATAGAGAAATAGATGTTGTGCATCTGTTGTTTGCATTTGCAAATATTTCGGAATCACAGCAATTACTTATTTTTAATATTCAATTTAGTTTCATGGTTACATGCACAGGTTTATCATACAGGTAAATTGTCTGTCATGGGGCTTTGGTGTACAGATTATTTCCTCACCCAGGTAATAAGCATAGTACCTGATGGGTAGTTTTTCCATTCTCACCCTACTCCCACCCTCAACCCTCAAGTAGACCCCAGTGTCTATTGTTCCTTTCTTTGTGTCCATGTGTACTGAATGTTTAGCTCCCACTTGCAAGTGAGAACATGCAGTATTTGGTTTTCTGTTCCTGCATTAGCTCACTTAAGATAATGTCCTCCCGCTCCATCTGTATTGCTGCAAAGGACATGGTAACTTCTTTTATGGCCGCATAGCATTCCATGGTGTATACATACCACATTTTAAAAAAATCCAGTCTACCATTGAAGCGCATCTAAGTTGATTCTGTGTCTTTGCTGTTATGAATAGTGCTGTTATGAACATATGTGTGCATGTGTCTTTATGGTAGCATGATTTATATTCCTTTGAGTATATACCCTATAATGGGGTTGCTGGGTCAGATAATAGTTCTATTTTAAATTCTTTGAGAATTTGCAAAACTGCTTCCCACAATGGCTGATAAAATTTACATTCTTACCAGCAGTGTATAAGCATTTCCTTTTCTTGACAACCTCACCAGCATGTGCTATTTTTGGACTTCTTAATAATAGCCATTCTGACTGGTGTGAGGTGGTATCTCATTGTGCTTTTGATTTGCATTTTGTCTAATTATTAGTGATGTTACGCATTTTTTCATTTGCTTGTTGACCACATGTATGTTTTTTGAAAAGTGACTGTTCGTGTACTTTGCCTACTTTTTAATGGGATTGTTTTAGCCTTGTTAATTTTTTTATGTTCTTTGTAGATGCTGCATGTTAGAACATTGTCAGATGCATAGTTTGCAAATATTTTCTTCCATTCTGTAGGTTGTATGTTTATCAGTAGTTTCTTTTGCTGTGCAGAAGCTCTTTAGTTTAACTAGGACGCATTTGTCAATTTTTGTTTTTGTTACAATTGCATTTAGTATCTTTGTCATGCAGTCTTTGCCAGGGGTTACTTCCAGAATGGTATTTCCTAGGTTATAATCCAGAGTTTTTGTAGTTTTGGATTTTACATTTAGGTCTTTAATCCATCTTGAGTTTATTTTTGTAACTAGTGTAAAAAAGATGTAAGCTTCAATATTCAGCATATGGCTAGCTAGTTATCCCCATTGCCTGTTTTTGTTTTGTTTGTTTTTCTTTTTCTTTCTTTCTTTTTTTTTTTTTTTTTTTTTGACTTCGTAGAAGATTAGGTGATTGTAGATGTGTGACTTTATTTCTGGGTTCTCTGTTCTGTTCCATTGGTTTAGGTGGTTGTTTTTGTGCCAGTAACATGCTGTTTTGGTTATTGTAGTGTATAGTTGGAAGTCAGGTAATGTGATACCTCTAGCTTTGTTCTTTTTGCTTAGGATTGCTTTGACTATTTGGACTCTTTTGTTTTGTTCTATATGAATTTTAGAATCATTTTTCTTAATTCTGTAAAGAATATCATTGGTAGTTTTATAGGGATAGGATTGAATCTGTAAATTGTTTTGAACAGTATGGTCATTTAAAAAATATTGATTCTTTCATTATCCATGAACATGGGATGTTTTTTCATTTGTTTGTGTCTTGTCTGATTTCTTTCGGGCAGTGTTTCGTAATTCTCATTATAGAGATCTTTCACCTTTTTATTTAAGTGTATTTCTAGGACTTTTATGGCTATTGTGAATGAGATTGCATTATTGACATGATTCTCAGCTTTGATGTTGTTGGTGTATAGAAATACTACTACTGATTTTTGTACATTGATTTTGTATCCTGAAATGTAGCTGAAGTTCCTTATCAGGCCTAGGAGCTTTTGAGAAGAGACTATGGGGCTTCATAGGTACAATATCATATCATCTGAAAATAAGGATATTTTGGCTTTCTCCCTTTCTATTTTCATGTCTTTTATTTCTTCTTCCTGCCTGATTTCTCTGGCTAGGATTTCCAGTACTATGTTGAATATAAGTAGTGAGAGAGGGCATCATTGTCTGTTCTGGTTTTGAAGGTGAATGCTTTCAGCTTTTGCCCATTCAGTATGTTGGCTGTGGGTTTTTCATAGATGGCTCTTACTATTTTGAAGTATGTTCCCTCAATGCTTAGATTGTTCGGGGTTTTTAACATGAGGAGATGTTGAATTTTATTGAAATAATTTTGTGTGCCTGTTGAAATGATCATATGGTTTTTGATTTTAGTTTAATTTGTGTGAATAATCACATTTATTGATTTGCATATGTTAAACCAACCTTGCATCTCAGGGATAAAGCCTATTTGATTGTGGAATATTAGCTTTTTAATCTGCTGCTGGATTTGGTTTGCTAGTATTTTGTTGAGGACCGTTGCATCTATGTTCATCAAGGATATTGGCCTGAAGTTTTAGTTTTTTTCATTGTGTCTATTCCAGGTTTTGGTACCAGGATGATGCTGTATTCATAGAATGAGTTAGAGTTCAGAATAGTTTCAGTAGGAATGGGACCAGCTGTTTATATATCTGGTAAAATCTGGCTGTGGATTCAACTGATCCTGGGCTTTTTCTGGTTGGTAGTCTGTTTATTACTTATTCCATTTTGGAACTCATTATTGGTCTGTTCATGGATTCAGTCTCTTCCTTGTTCTATGTTGGGAGGTTGTATGTGTCCAGGAATTTACCAGTTTCTTCCAAGTTTTCTAGCATGTGTTATAGAGGTGTTTTTAATAGTCTCTCAAGGTTATTGTATTACTGTGGGATCCCTAAAGTGGTAACATCCCCTTTCTTATTTATTTGTGTTTACTTGGATCATCTTTTTTTTCTCTTTATTAGTCTAGCTAGTGGTTTATCTTATTTATTCTTTCAGCAAACCAACTCCTGGATGCGAACTTTTGTGTTTTTTGCATGTTACAGCTTCCTTCAGTTCAGGCCTGGTTTTGTTTATTTCTTGTCTTCTGCTATCTTTGATGTTGGTTTGCTCTTGTTTCTCTAGTTCCTCTAGGTGTCATGTTAGGTTGCTAATTTGAGATCTTCTTAGTTATGTGATATGGGCATTTTGCACTATAAACTTTCTTATTAATAAGGCTTTAGTTGTGTCCCAGTGATCCTTGTATGTTGTATCTTTGTTCTCAGTAGTTGCAAAGAAATTCTTGATTTCTGTCTTAATTTCATTGTTCACTCAAAAGTCGTTCAGGAGCAGGTTAATTTCCGTGTAATTCTGTGGTTTTGAGCAATCTTCTTAGCATTGATATATATTTTTATTGTGCTGTGGTCCAAGAGCGTGCTTGGTATCATTCCAGTTTTTTTTTGTTTTGTTTTGTTGTTGTTGTTGTTGTTGTTGTTGTTTTTCAGTTTTCTGGGGATTGTTTTATGGCCAATTTTGTGGTCAATTTTAAAGTGCCATGTGCAGAGAGAAATATTTATTCTGAAATTTTGGGGTAGAGAGTTCTTTAGATGTCTATTAAGTTTGTTTAGCCAAGTGTTGAGTTCAGGTTCTGAATATCTTTGTTAGTTTTCTGCCATGATGATCTAATACTGTCAGTGGTATGTTGAAGTCTCCCACTATTGTTGTGTGGTTATCTAGGTTTCTCTGTAGGTCTCTAAGAATTTGCTTATTAATCTGGGTACTCCTATGTTGCATGCATATATGCTTAGGATAATTAAGTCTTCTTGCTGAATTGAACCCTTCTATTATGTAATGTACTTCTTTTTCTCTTTTGATTTTTGTTTGCTTAAAGTTTGTTTGTCTGAGATTAGAGTAGCAACCCCTTATTTTTGGTTTGTTTGTTTTCTTTCCATTTGCTTTGTAGATTTTTCTCCATCCCATTACTTTGAGCCTATGGACGTCATTGCATGTGAGATGGGTCTCTTCAAGGAACATACAGTTGGGTCTTGCTTCTTTATCCAATCTGCCATTCTGTGCCTTTTAGTTGGGGCATTTCACCCATTTATATTCAAGGTTAGTTTGGATATGTGTGATTTGATCCTATCACCATGTTATTAGGTAGTTATTATGCAGACTTGACTGTGTAGTTGCATGATAGTGTAAATGGTTTATGTACTTGTGTGTTTTTATGGTGGTGCATAATAGTCGTTTGTTTCTATATTTAGTATTCCATTAAGGTCCTCTTGTAAGGCAAGTCTGGTATTAATGAATTCCCTTTTGCTTGTCTCAAAAGAATCTTATTTATCATTTGCTCATGAAGCTCATTTTGGTAGGATATGAAATTATTGGTTGTAGTTTCTTTTCTTTAGGAATGATGAATATAGGCCCTCAATCTCTTCTGGCTTACAGGGTTACTGCTGACAGGACTGTTGTTAGCCAGATTGGGTTTCCTTTGTAGGTAACCTGCCCCTTCTCTCTAGCTGCCTTTAATGTCTTTTATTTTATTTTGACTGAAAATCTGATGACCATGTGTCTTGGGGATGGTCATCTTCTATAGTATCTTACGGTGGTTCTTTGCATTTCCTGAATTTGGATATTGGCCTCTCGCAAGGTTCGGGACATTGTTATGGACAATATTCTCAAATATACTTTCCAAGTTGCTTGCTTTCTCTCTCTCTCTCTTTCAGAGATACCAGTGAGTTGTAGTTTTGATCTCTTTACATAATCCCATATTTTCAGAGGTTTTCTTCATATATATTTTTTTTTCTTTATTTTTATCTGACTGAGTGGATTTGTAGAACCGGTGTTTGAGCTCTGAGATTCTTTCCTCAGCTTGGTCTATTCTATTGTTAATACTTGTGATTGTATTATTAAATTCTTGTAATCCATTTTTCAGCTCTATCAGATTACTTTGGTTCTTTCTTTAAATGGCCACTTCATCTTTTATTCTCTGTATTGGTTTATTGTATTCCTTAGATTACTTGGATTGGATTTTTACTATCTCCTGAATCTCTGTGATCTTCATTCCTATCCATACCCTGAATTACGTATCTGCCATTTCACCCAGTTCAGCCTGATTAAGAACCATTGTTGGGGAACTAATGGGAAACTAATGAAGGTAGGAAGACACTCTGGTTTTTTGAGTTGCCAGGGTTCCTACACTGGTTCTTTCTCTCTGTGTGGGCCAATGGTCCTTTAATATTTGAAGTCACTGTCCTTTGGTTGGGGTGTTTTTTTACATTTATCTTCTTTGATGCCCTTGGCAGTTTGACTTTGGTATAAGGCGGGTTCAGTCAACTGGCTTTGATTCTGGAATATTTCAGGGGACCATGGCTCAGTTCTGCACTGCTGGGCTACATGCTCTCACCCTGAGTGGACTGGTACCAGGTCCCCATCTTTGTTCTCTGGCCCCTTGAGGTGAGGAACCTGCTGTGCTGGGCAGGCTAACGTGA